TTTTTTTTTTTTTATTTTTTTTATTTGTTATAAAGGTTAATGTGGCGGAGGGGGTTACAAATGGAGCAAAGTGATAGTTATTACACAATTGAATTGATCAACATGTTACAAAAAGAAAGGAACTCGTCGCTAGCTTCGTGGTGCTAAGAGGTCATCAACTCGGTCGGTCTTTGATAGAATACCCCATATGGTTAATACCAACTCGTCGCGACGCGACAAATTAAAATTTATAAAGTTCTTTGACAAACATCCCCTATATAGTAGTAGCGACAAGTAAGGACCTATCTCACGAGGAACAAGAATTAAATTGTGACTATACTAGTATTAATCGAATTACAACTAAGAAAGCAATTAAAGTAGATTTATAAAGTTCTTTGGCAAACCTCCACTAACTAGTAGTAGCGGCAAGTAAAGACCAATCCCACTGGGTAATAGGAATTAAATTGTGACTATACTCGTACTAATCGAATTAGAACTAAGAAAGTAATAAAAGATTGGGGTGGTTTGATTTTATAAAACTAAAAATAAAAATAAAAAAATAAAATAAAATGAGAGAAATTCAGTTTTTTGTTGCATTTATCACTCAATCTAAATTTACCGTTAATTAATTTCGACGCCTTCTTTGCTAATGCATCACAAACCCTAACTAACAACAAGTTTTGTAAACTAAAATTTTCGTTATCGATTATTTAATCAAAATAAGTTCTTCGACTAAACCTAACAAGTGGACAACTTAGAATAAGTTCTCTAGATTTAATATATTAGCAACCTTAATTCCTAGGAAAATAGATTAATTTAAGCAACGGACGCGAAAACTCGGGTTCGATCACTGTTGAATTAGTATAACATTTTATGACATTCGTACGTGAGACAAACACCTATATATAGTGAAACATTAACTGCGGGAAGTAAGCAATATTTATTATCCAACTACTATGATATTGTTCATCTTCATCTTTCTCTCCCAAATACTGACTTAAGCTTTGGAGAGTTTTACGCCGGAAAACCTCTGTCGTCCTTTGCAGGTACTTACAAGCTTCAACTCAGGCCGAAAACCAAAGAAGGAAGCCGTATCCTCGAATCGGGAACTGTCTTGAATTGGAGCACCTACACCAATCCTTATCATTGGTCAAACTAAATTAAACACTTGCACTTCAGTAATTTCGGTCGTGAACCATTTGTAAGGGTAAAATTGACTTTTTAATAATTTATTTAGTAAAAATTACATTTTACTAACCTAACTATACATTATTTGTGCACTTTACCCGCTGACTTTTCAGTGACTTATTTAGGGACACCTACCTCAAGCATGTCGGAAGTCTGGCGGATCGCACCATCCATCCGCAGGGCCCTCCAGATCCTCATCCTCTGATTAAACATTACCTCCGCCCAATTAACATTGAGCTCTAGCAATTGGAACATTGAACTCTAGCAATTGGATTATTAGAAACGGGGGAAGAGAGTGCGGTCTCACCAGATGAAGGCGCACCATAAGAGGGTGAGCCTAGATGCATCTTAGTGAGGTTACATCTCAAAACCAATTGGTGATAGAAGGAGTAGTCTACTATGCTTATATACTAGACTCATTTTCCCTACAAAATCAATGTGGGACACTCACAAGTGATATTCCAACAGGCCCCCTCACTTGTGAGTCCTTCGTAAACCCAAGCCCACGTAGCAGACCCGGTAGAGAGATAAAGTCGACGCCCAGAGCAGACCTGGTATCAGAGAGGGCGTCAAATAAATCGAGAAAAATCGGAAAAAAAAAAATCAAAAACTGTATAGATCGAGTGTGCGGAAGCGAGGATCGATGATCTGTGCGATTGATACCATTGGGGACACCTAAGAACTCTTGAGCTTTTCGAAAAACTACAGATTTGTGGTTCTGCTCCGCTTTTCTTCTCGTAATAATATATCTCAGTTCACTTCCTGGCCGGTTGTTTTCCCCGTGGCGGCGGCGGCGGCTGCTGCTTCGACAGGATTGGTAAGTATTGTAAATGTATTTCTTATTGATTTGTATGTGTTTTCTGATAATCGAAATTTAATTTTTCTAGTTTGGATCCATCAGATCTGACGTGTATCATAATTTTCTCGATGAATCCTGATTAAGAATGGTGATATGTCGTAAACTGTGTGTCTCGTGCAGAAATTGAGACAGAATGGTGAGATGTTAAAATTAAGAAGAATCCTAATTAGGCCAAAAATTGGATCTTTATTGTATCATCAAGTTCTAATGTGTATGTGTGTGTATGTGTGTGTGTGTGTATGGTAGTTGTTGGAATGGAGGAGAAGTCGAAAAGATCACGTCCATACGAGGATGATGATGATGATGATGATGATGATGATGATGATGATGATGATGATGATGATGTAGTGGAGATTAAGAGACCGATTGAGAGACCAAGAAAACCGCGCCATCTTTTTGCATTGCCAACAAAATTGTACTGTTACAATTGCATATTATCGGAAGATGATGAGGAGAGCAACAAAGCCGATCCTCTTCCCCAAGGCAAGTACAGTGAGTTGTTCAATCTCGTCCCTCATGTTCGAATCAACTTCCGAGTAGATTACATTCTCCAAAAGAGAGTTGGCGGCCACATTGTTGAGGAGACGCTTTGTTCGACCCATAGACGCTTCTACATACGCTTGTTTCTCATCACTCAATACGATTTCTACATGCATATGATCTGTGTTCCCGATGAAGATGAATACTGCCAGGTGAGGAGTGGGCTCGAGTACGACATTCACCACCCGGAAACCTTTCTTTTCAAATTCCTCAGCTGTCACGGAGTCAATGATGAAGCTGTTATCCATAAATGGGTGGACGACACCAAAGATTTTGTCACCAAGCTTAAAACCAAGTCATTTGATATGACTGGGTCTAACCTTAGAGTTTACCCCATCGCTATGCATATCAGACTCTACACAAAGCAACAGGAAAACGAGACCATTGATGATGCAAGAAGGCGGGCCATAATGCCCGACTCTTCGCGTGTGGAGCTTGGGGATAAGCTCATTAAGCTTCTCTCCACTCCTCCGCCTTACAAGTTTCTGATACAATTAAAAAACGACAGTCACCGAATGAACTGCGGTACTTGTTCGGGCAAGCTTCGTTTTCAAGACTTCATATTTTTCTTGCCGTGCTCTCATGCCTATCATCATTCCTGCCTAGCTCATTGGGCGAAACAGAAAATACAATGTCAGGTGTGCCTTGAGTACGTGGATTTTCGAACTTTTCTTGAGTGTGCTGTCTTTCGGACTAAAGACCTCAACTAGATATCATTCAAGGCTACTTGGCCTCAACTTTCATTCTCCTCCTCAACCAACTATTAATTATGTCTTTCCCTTAAGTTCTTCATGACTGTGTTTTTCGATTTATTATTACTGGTACTGCATTTCATGGGTTTGTGAATGCTTGAATAAGACCAATGAGATAATATATGCAAGATCTTGAATATAAAAGATTAAAAACTATCTTTGTTGTTTGTCTGCAAAACTGGGAGTTGATGTGATGACTGAATGTGGCCAAGCATAAACGATAGAGGTTGAGTTGCACTGGCAGCTTCATTTCTGATTCGTGAGCATATACTTTTATGCATTTTTGAAACTTGGTCTGTTTGTTGTGTGAAAAAACAAAATTTGTAATTTTTTTTTTTTTTTATAAAAGATTAATGTGGCGGAGGGGGTTACAAATGGAGCAAAGTGATAGTTATTACACAATTGAAAGATCCAACACAGAAACACAACTATACATGCTATACAATTCGATTGATCAACATGTTACAAAAGAAGGCCAGGGGGAATGAAAACACTCAACCGATGGGGGAGGAATGAACAGCAGCTCTAGGGGATAAATGTGGATATCCAGTCGAGTTCCTACGCTTTCATGTCGACAACTCACTTGAAGCTATACCATAAAGCAGTTCTTCCTCTATCCCATATGATTAATACCAACTCGTCGCGACACGACAAATTAAAATTTATAAAGTTCTTTGACAAACATCCACTAACTAGTAGTAGCGGCAAATAAGGATCGATTCCAGAGGAACAAGAATTAAATTGTGACTATACTCGTATTAATCGAATTACAACTAAGAAAGCAATTAAAATGGATTTATAAAGTTCTTTGACAAATCTCCACTAACTAGTAGCAGCAGCAAGTAAAGACCGATCCCACGAGGAATAGGAATTAAATTGTGACTATATCGTAAATTAGAACTAAGAAAGTAATAAAAGGTGGGGTGGTTTGATTTTATAAAACTAAAAATAAAAATAATAAATCAAATAAAATGAGAGAAATCTGGTTTTTCGTTACAGTTATCACTCAATCTAAATCTACCATTAATTAACCACAAACCCTAGCTAACAACAAGTTTTGTAAATCGAATTTTTCGTTATCGATTATTTAATCAAAATAAGCTCTTCGACTAAACCTAACAAGTGGACAACATAGAATAAGCTCTATGGATTTAATATACTAGCAACCTTAATTCCAAGGAAAATAAATTAGTCTAAGGAACGGACGCGAAAACTCGGACCATTTAACTTATGTTTACGCTACCCTAGAGATGCACAACCACTAGTTTACTACCAACGAAACGAGAACAATAACAATTACGGATTAAAGTCTTGTCTCTAACAATTAAACTATGAATATTCAACGTAGTTGGCTGATAGGGAGCATGATTAATATATAGACCGAGTCGACCGAGACAGAACGGAAACCTAGCGGGAGAGAGCCAAGATCGATCCCGCGTACATGGGGATCGATCTCATGACCAAATCGTCGAGCCACTGTACGACCGACCTCTTGGGCTCGGTCTTCGACCCTTGACCGAATCCTAAGGCTCATCCTTGATCCCTGGGGTCAGACCTCTGATCTCCTGGGTTCGATCACTGTTGAATTAGTATAACATTTTATGGCATTCGTACGTGAGACAAACGCGTATATATAGTGAAACATTAACTGCGGGAAGTAAGCAATATTTATTATCCAACTACCATAATGTGGTTCATCTTCATCTTTCTCTCCCAAATATTGACTTAAACTTTGGAGAGTTTTACACCGGAAAACCTCCGGCGTCCTTTGCAGGTACTTACAAGTTTCAACTCAGGCCGAAAAGCAAAGAAGGAAGCCATATCCTCGAACCGGGAACCGTCCTGAACCGAAGCCACCTACACCAAACCTTATCATTGGCCAAACTAAATTAAACACTCAAAAATTACACTTAAACAATTTTGGTCACGTGACCTATTTGTAAAGGTAAAATTGACTTTTTAATAATTTATTTAGTAAAAAATTTTACTTTACCCACCTAATTATACATTATTTGTGCAGTTACCCACTCAACGTTTTTTAGGCGACATTTTGCCTGTGTAACTTTGCCAAAAAAAAAAAAAATGCATTTAAGAATTTTTCACTCACCATGATCCATTTGTAATAGTAAAGCTGACTTTTCAGTGACTTATTTAGGACACCTACCTCAAGCATGTCGGAAGTCTGGCGGATCGCACCATCCATTCGCAGGGCCCTCCAGATCCTCATTCTCTGATCGTTCGCGGCTTGTCGATCATTGCCTCCGCCCAATTAACATTGAACTCTAGCAAATAGATTTTTCCGTCGAATTACGCAACGATCGTTTGGCGCATGTAGAGAAGACATCTGTTAGCCACCGCCGGTGGTGGTGGCGGCGGCAACGACGTAGTTGGATCAAGATTGATGACGAGACCAACGACGATCAAACCATAGTCGATCAAGCTATCGAACTCCAAATTCTATTATAAAGAGGTTGCACTTGATTGGAAGGAAAAGTAGCAAATTCAACGTGGGAGATGATTTTTCATGACTATCCTAGTAATAGAATGTTTGTCTGAAGTTCATATTAGTTGATCCTCGAGAACACGTCTGTTTCAACCTCTTTTCAATTTTACGAAAGAAAAAGCTCTGAGAAATTATTTGTTTTCAATTTGAGATTTTTTCCATTGTTTCCTGGTGTCTAATTTGTTTGAAATGTTTCGAGTGGTGTCTAATTTGTTTGAAATGTTTCGAGTTATCGGGTTTTATTATTGAAAATGTTCTCTAATCAATAATGGTGTGTGTTGTGCAATTATGTTTGTTTTTCTATATCTTATTTTGAGTGACATCTTCGAACGAGTTAGAAAAGATAGAAATCATTGAGGTTGATGTAAGAAGCCAACAATTTTTTTTTTTTTTTTTTTTTATCCTATTCTACCCCCCACCCCATCCCAATTCATTTTTGCCTCCCCAGGAATCGAACCCTGGATCTCTAGCAAGGAGGCAATGCCCCCTACCAACTGGGCTAGCCCCAGTGGCTTAAGAAGCCAACAATTTAAATAGACAGGTTTGTCCTTAAATAGATCACTAAATAGTCATTTATGCCCTTACAAATGGGAAAAGGTGACTGAAAGTTTCTCAAATGCAATTTGCGAAGTTTTACGGGCAAAATGTCATGAATAAAAAAATGAGTGAAAAAAAAAAGTATAGTTAGGATGCTAAAGTATAATTTTTCTTAAATAAATAACCGAAAAATCAATTTTGCCTCATAAATGTACCACAATGATAAAAAAATTTCAAATGTATTTTTTTACAAAATTATATGGTCAAAGGGTTACGAAAAAAAAAGTTGAATTGATAAAGTCAAAAAAAAAAAAACATACAATTAAATGGAACGTGTAATTTTTCAAATTTATAATAAATTTTAGAAGTTGCAAATAGTGGAGTCCTAGGGAATAATTGACGGGCGTTATTTCTGGAATGATCCCAACAAGAACAAGTGCGCCACACCAAGAAATTGACAACATTATGATTGATTATTTAATTTTTGGTATTCATGCGTAATCATCATATATGCCTCTGAAAGAAAAATTCATAGCACTTCTTTTTACCAACTTATTCCACTATCTATAGGAAATGCTACAGTCTGTCACTCTCGTTACAGAATTATTTCGTCAGAATGTAATCGTCGTAGATAGTTGATTTAGCGATTACAAATCTCGATAGAATGGTTTCGTAACGGGACCGTAGAATCTCCCACTATCTTCTATAACTACAAGTAAATACTAAATTATTATGATTCATTAGAAAAAAAAGAAACTTTAGCCGCGTAAAACCGACTAATATGTCCGTTGTCCCCACACAGAAAACAAAAATTCTCCTAAATAACTCAACATTCAACTGAAAAATGTTTTCTATATTCAAAGTTACATGCAGCAATTTTTATTCCGTTTGGCTAGATAAATAACCATAATAATTAGTTTAAAAGAACCAAGAATCTAATTATCTATATTTATCCAACTACAAAGTCAAGAGGTGCAAACAAGCACAAACTTCTGGTACTCGAGCCTTTATTGAGTCAATCTTGTCGACAAAACAAACCGATAAACAAACTCGAGCTAGCCTGTATATCAACACTAACGAGCTAAACTCGACACGAGCGATAAAAAATCACATAAAATCTCGTAATTTTTTAGCATTTATGAGCCGAGACAATTTCATGAGCAGCTCGTTTTGTTCAACAACTTCTAGTAGTATCGTACTTTGAAAAATAACTTAAATAAATGTATGACATTTGATATTATAAATTGAAAAAAAAAAAAAAGTATGACTTATTGACATGTTTAATAGTTAGTCCACTTCACACCATAATGACAACTTTCATTCACTATATTGCAAGAAATTAAACCATGTAATTGAGATTCCATGAGCATCATTGACCATTTTTTGCTGACTTTTTTTCTCACCACTTATCCTTAATTCATAAATTCATATTCATCTGCTTCAATACCATTCACAACTTAGAAAAACAAAGAAGTTTAAGGTTTAAAGAAAAAACAAAGAAAAAGAACATGAAAGTCATCACAAAGTGCATATTTAGTGCATTAGTTCTTGTCATGTCCTCGGTTTTATCATCACTTGTTGTTAATGGAGACCCTTTAGTTCCGGCGCTGTGCATTTTCGGGGACTCTGTCGTTGATGTCGGGAACAATAACAATCTCCAAACGCTCATCAAAGCGAATTTTCTTCCTTACGGAAGAGATTTCGTCACCCATCAACCCACCGGAAGGTTCTGCAATGGCAAGCTCGCCACCGATTTCACCGGTAAAACATTTTTCAAACATTATTCATATTATCACAAAAAAGAAAAGATTATTATTTTTTGCTAGCCAAACTTATTTATATATATTTATAATCATGCCATATTATACTCATGATGTTCTTATATAATTTTATTGTTTTTTTTTAATCCTTTTGCATGAAAAAAAACATGCTAAAATTGCTTGGATTACTCAATTATTTTTCACACGCACAGCTGAGTATCTTGGGTTCCATTCATACCAACCGGCATACCTCAGCCGAGACGCCAAAGGGAGGAATATTCTCATCGGCGCCAACTTTGCCTCGGCTGCTTCCGGCTATTTCGACAGCACAGCACTACTATATGTTAGTCTTTTTCTCTTCCATAATTGTTATGTTATTATTAAAAAAAATAAAAATTATGATCAAAAGACGACTTTTTTCGTATTCTTTACAGGGAGCTCTGTCACTGCCGCAGCAGCTCGGTTACTACAAGAACTGGCAGAGCAAAGTGGTGGCTTTGGTGGGAAGGAGTAAAGCTAATGCTATATTCTCAAAAGCAATTCATCTTATAAGTGCTGGCACTAGTGATTTTATCCAGAACTACTAAAATAATCCCCTTCTCAACCGAGCTTACACCCCGGACCAATTTTCGGACCTTCTCATGAAATCTTATTCTTCCTTAATCCAGGTTTCACAGTTTATAGAGTCAGCTTACACAAAACTAAATTTTTTATATTTTTTGACATAATAAAAATGGGATCTTTGGACAGAACCTATACAACCTTGGAGCAAGAAGAATCGGGGTCACGACTCTGCCACCAACCGGATGCTTGCCGGCTGCCATTACCTTATTCGGCTTCGGAAGCAATCAGTGTGTTGATAGGCTCAACCGAGATGCCGTTTCTTTTAACGAAAAAATGAATGCGACATCTCGGAATTTGAGGGCCAATCATCCGGGATTGAAACTTGTGGTTTTTGATATCTACCAGCCTCTCTTGGATTTGGTCTCAAAACCAAGTGATAGTGGTACATTTATAAAGCTTCAAGTTTCCTTTTTTTTTTTAATAATAATGCAAGAAAGGGAACTCATTGGATTTTTGGCAGGATTTTTTGAGTCGAGGAAGAGTTGCTGTGGGACGGGCGTAATCGAGACGTCGTTTTTGTGCAATTCGTTATCTGTAGGAACGTGTTCGAACGCGACAGAGTACGTTTTCTGGGACGGATTTCACCCCTCGGAATCAGCTAATGAGAAGTTGGCACAGAGTCTGCTTGAGCAAGGGTTTGATCTCATATCTTAAGAGTTTTGAGGTTGTCTTCTGTTGTAGTTTCAAGACTTGGTTTTAGTGTACTGAAGAGGAGATGATGAATTGATGATAATAATATCTGAATTTTAAGTTGAGGAATGTGTAAGAATGTTTAATATTCTACTGTTGAAGTTCACATATAATTTGTTGGGCCTGGATGATGGAAAAGTTTGATTGATTTGTTGGGCCTAAATGAATGGATAATAGTAAAGTTTTGATGGATTTCTGAAAATCTGGGGACAATTTCAAGCTTGGGGTTTGAAATGTGGATTCTGAAGGCTTGGCTCTTCCAGTTCATTGTTCAAGAATATTTACCTCTGTGGCTGGACTGTCTTATTCTTGAAATATGTTTGAATGAGGCTAATGGTTAATAAAACTCGGAAATGCTAAGGTCCTGTTACAGAACTACTCCGTTCAGATTTTTAACCGTTAAATCATCATGTAACCGTCATTGATAGTTGATCTAACGATTACAAACCCCGACGGAATAGTTACGTAACGGGACCGTAGAATCTCCTAATAAAACTATGCACATTATCATTGGTCTTGCTACTTTACATTGTTCAGAGTTATGTATTTAGTTATTTCCCTTATATATATAAATAGCCACTCTTAACAATTTACCTGCGCATCTGTATATATCGGTATCTCCAATTAATTGCAGGGCTAGAAATGAAAAAAAAAAAAACGCTTAGTTTTTAATTAATTATGGTAAAATTGTTACATTTTATGTTAATTATGTTTAATCATATTGTGATCAACAGTTTTGATCAATAAATTATAAATTTAGTGTGGATTAGAAAAAATTAAAGCTGTAAAAATCGAGTTAAAACAATGGATTTGCGTGGAAACTGAATTTTTCTGAGGTCGGACGTTCTGACTGTTCAGGTTGGATTTCGCCTGTAATGTAGAATTAAATGAGAGATTTTTTTTTTTTTTTTTTGCCTTGTTACAAAGTGAATTTTTTTATCAATCCCTTATGGGAAGGATTCCTTTGACTATTTATAGCAAAATCTGCACGGTCACTGGTCATCGGATTATATCAATTAAATGTTGAATGACAGACATTTAATGTGGACATGCTACTCTAAGGGACTTAGCAGCCATAGTTCTGCATGGCCTTCATGCACAGTGACGGATCCAGAAATTTTATCGAGGGGGGTCCAACTAATAATAGCAAAAAAGAAATACATCAAGTGTAAAAATAGATAAATCAATACAAGTACCGTCTAAATAAACATAATACATATGTCCGAGTATTCAAGAAAATAACTTACGATAACACTGAGAGTTTCACAATATTTCTCTTCTATTTTTTCATGTTTTGAAATCGTTGCAGGATAGCCTCATTGCTAACGAAATATATGTTCTCCATGTAAGACACTAACAATCATTTAAAAGCTCGTCGCCCATTTGACTGCGTAGTGTACGTACCTTTGATGATTGTCATTGCCCAAAAAACTCATGTCACTGTAGCAGTGGCAACCGGTAAAACTAACAACTTTTATATAATCAACAACCACAACCGGTAAAATCAACATTCTGTGGCAATCTCCTATAAAATCGTTCCATGATCTAAATTGTAACATAAAAAATTAAAAAAATGTGATAAAAGACATAAAGATTAAGATGCACATGTTTTCTGATGTAAGATGTTTAACTAGTGAAACATTCAAAAGCCAAATGGAAAAATGTGATTGTTAATATTAAACAAGCTTTTACATAATGAAATGGATCAACAAAAAAAAGAATCAAAAGATATTTGGATTTTTTTTATTAGTCATTTGGTAAAATTTACTCAAGTGTCGGCCACAAATAAATTGCCTCGGTCATTGGAAAGGCCTGCCACTGTAAGTCCCTTCAAACTGAACAAGAAAATTGTGAATTTAACCATATAGTTTTCTTTTTATTTTTATCATTAATGTGAATTTACTAATATACCCCTGAATTATTTAAAAATTTCAGGGGGGCCCAGTGCCCCCCCTGGGCCGGGTACAGCTCCGTCCCTGTTCATGCATGTGCCATCTTTCCGACCCCTAGGTGTTGGACGGGAGTCCATGTGGGGTACCTTTTTCCACACAATATTTGATTTTTTTAATGCGATTAAATTTCGAGTTTTCTGATTTTCCAACTCGGATGTCAACAGATATTTTATTAACTTATCATATAATTATAGTTGAAATAGTATATGAAAGTTACATATTAATTCAAGCTACTTACTTTAAAATTAATATTATCTTTTTTACATCTCATTAGGTGGTAGTTTTTAAGAAATTAATTAGCTAATTAATTTTAATGGCATAGCCAAACTGAATAATAATAATAATAATAATAATAATAATAATAATAATAATAATAACAATATATTTTAGATAATTAATTTGTCATAATTCTTTAAATTATAAAAGTTATTTTATATATTACACAATAATAATAATAATAATAATAATAACAATATATTTTAGATAATTAATTTGTCATAATTCTTTAAATTATAAAAGTTATTTTATATATTACACTTTATGTGATCAGTATAATGATTTATGTATAGTTAAATAAATTTATATTTATATTATTTATTTAATAAAATATAGAAAATATGTATCGTCTATTGTCTATTTAATAATATACATACATATAATTTATAATATTTTATAATTTATATATGTATATGTGCAGAGATCATCATCTACAACAACAAAAGAAAGAGCTATCAATGCTTATCTTGAATGGAAACAAATTTTATAAAGACAAAAGACAGTCCACGGCACGCTTAATTAAGGATTTCCACGCACGGCGAAGCCCACTTCAAGAACGGTTGCAGTTCAAGAGTTTTCAGTGCAAAATAGTTACAACTAACAATCATTAGGCGAAATGCTACAGTTCCGTTACTGAACCATTCCGTCAAGATTTATGACCGTTAGATCATCATGTAACATTCGTGCATACTTGATCTAACGGTTACAAACCCCGACGAAATGGTTCCGTAACGGAACCTTAGAATCTCCCCAATCATTAGTTAACAAAGATCAAGTAAATTAGCATCTGATTTAAAGATTATTAGAATATCACTTGTGAGTTGTCCAACATTGTTCATACATGGAAAAATAGACCCATCTTATAAGTCTAATGGGCTTCTCCTCCTTCCACCAATTGGTTTTGGGATGGAACCCCACTTGGGCTTCATATGGGCTTTTTCCCGCTTTGGTGCGCTTCATGTTAGTGGGACCGCACTCGATTTTCCCCCAATTTCTTACATATATTTTTCTCACTTTCTTACATGGTATCAGAGCCGGTTCTAATGGTTAATAAAACTGGGAAATGCTAAGGTCCCGTTACAGAACTACTCAGTCAAGATTTGTAACTGTTAGATCATTATGTAACCGTCATTGATAGTTGATCTAACGGTTCACAAACCCTGGCGGAATAGCTCCGTAACGGGACCGTAGAATCTCCCCAATCATTAGTTAACAAAGATCAAGTAAATTAGCCTCTGATTTAAAGATTATTAGAATATCACTTGTGAGTTGTCCCACATTGTTCATACATGGAAAATAGACCCACCTTATAAGTCTAATGGGCTACTCCTTCTTCCACCAATTAGTTTTGGGATGGAACCCACTTGGGCTTCATATGGGCTTTTCCCCACTTTGGTGCGCTTCATGTTAGTTGGACTGCACCCGATTTTCCCCCAATTTCTTACAAAGATTATAAATTTGTTTCCATTCAAGATAAGCATTGATATCTCTTTTGTTGTTGATGATGATCTCTGCACATATACATATATAAATTTATAAAATATTATAACAGCAATGAATAATGTTCAACCTTAAAAAGGAAAAATGTTGAAAAACTAAATAAAATTTGATTGGCCATGGATCTAAAACTTACCATACTTTTGAAAGTATCCAAAGAAAAAAAACAAGTCATGTATGGTGTCTCCTTTCTCCATCTTTCTTTCCTTTTTTATGAATGTTATTAGATGCAATGTTATTAGTCTATTGCCAGTACTCTTACCCATATTCTTGTTTTTTTGGTACCTCAATTTCTTGCACCTATTATTATGACCTTGCTCTGCATATTTCTATGTTGCCCATTCATTATTTTCAGAGACTTGCCCATTTTGTGGAGTTATTAAAAGTGCCAAAGATAAACAGAATTGCAACTATTAGAATATTCACTTGTAAGTTGTCTCACATCGTTTATATGAGGAAAATAGACATAACTTATAAGTCAATTGAGTTACTCCTCCTTCAATCAATTGGTTTTGAGATGAAATCTCACTTGGACTGAGTTTTTCCTGCTTATGGTGTGCTTCACATGCGTATCGCTCCGTTTCCCCCCGTTTCTTACATCAACAGTAAGTCCAAATTTATAACTTGATTAATAATATTCAATAAAAATTTTACTATTAGTTATACATAAATTTTTTGGAGCTCGAATGTTTTTTTTTTTTATATGGTGCTATCAATCACTTAATATATTGACACATGTCCCGAGTGTATTTATTGTAGGACAGGTGTCAATAAACTATTTGTGAATAACTGTGGATGACTCCATAAGTTGTGTTATCCGATGACTTCATAGCAAACCTGATTATAATATTGTAGAGTAGTACTGTTGTATTGTAGGTTTCGTTAAGATCCAACCTAAATTAAGACTCGTCTTATATCTTTATATATGTGTACATGTCTTTGTCAATAATACAATACATGATCTTCACACGTTCTCACATTTACAATAACGAACTGTTGGGAAAGATGTTGGAATCACTAAATTCTAATTATAATTCCAAAAAAAAAAAAAACAATTTCAACAAAAAATATAACTATTGATTTCCATTGCAATATTTATTAGAATTTTGCACAACGGTGAGTAAAACATTAGAATATTCATAGAAATTTCTATTGGAATTTTTCCTTCATTGAGTTTTTCTTAACAAATACTCACTTTTCTGTCAATTTATTTTTCATAAACTAAAAAAACCGTAAATT